TATAGTATATATAATATATTAGATATATATTGGATATATTTGAGATATTAAATCTTACATTAAATATGTGAATATACAGTGCTTGATTTGAAGCCCCTTTTTTCAGACAGGTGGAGTAAGCAATTCTCTGAAAACTGGTAATGAAATTTGTGTATACATTTTTTAAACAGCTGTGCATAAGGTAGTAGCGTTACACTTGTTCTCTTCTTGGTTTCCTTGCTACAGTTGGAAAAAACCCAAACTCGGTTGTCTGTACACAGCAGCTTTTGTAGCTCTTTCTAGCGTGCTGTAATTGCAGCTGTTTCCCTCTCTGTCAGTTTGAAGTGACAGTGAAACATAGATCTCAAATGTTCAAATGTAGAGACTTACCTTCCGTGTGTTGCAGTGCTTCGCAAGGGGCTTCTGATGGTGTCCGTGGGATTTCTCATGGCCGAGTGTTACCGAGCAAGCTGCATGTTTTGGTTTAGTGTGGTGGTGTATTTGGCTGTGTTCACTAAACTTCCTTTTTTAAAATCATTCCTCCACTTTTAAAAAAAATCTTATCTTCTGGCCACTCCCCCATGTTACTGCTTGTGCAGGGCTGCTTTGCTCCCACACTCAGGTTTGGGTCGTTTGCACCCAAACATTTCTCTGTGTCACCCTGGGTAAGTGACACTGTGGTGTGGTGCTGGGGATGTCAGCACCACTGAGATAACACCTGAGGTTTGCTTTCCGTGGGTTCGTGTCGTTCCTTTGCTGTTGCTCTGGCTGTCAGAGCAAGGGGCTGATGTCAGGCATTACCCTTCTGATTAATTACTCTGCTAATGGCCTCCTCCTCTTGCCCTGGAGCACCCCAGGCTGTCCCTGGGTCTGTCCCCCCTGCCCCTGTCCATCCGTGCTGGTGCTGTGCCCATCCAGCCCCTTCCTCAGGTCCCAGACTCCTTCCTCTGTCCGCTCATCCTGGGATCAGTTGAGTTCTGAAAAATCCTGAAGGTTTCATGTATTTGAAGTTAATTTCAATTAATAGATTTTTTTCAGTGCTGAGGGAGTCTCCCCAGTTGAATTAATTAGTGAAGTTTGTCCTTATGGGTATTGCTGTGGCTTAAAACCCAGCACTTGAGACAAACGATCCTTGGAACGCTTTGTGTGTGAAATCTGCATTCTTCACTAAAAGCTCTTTTTCCTCTGAAGAAAACCAATTAACGTGTAGGTATTCCTGGCCTGGAACATTCCTTGACCTGTTGTCATAATTGTTAATGTCAAAATAAGACCTCTAAGTATCTTTTCTCCATTTACTGATTCCATCTTTCAAAAAGTTGTCTGTTATGTCACAGTATTACCAAAGTAGAGGTTTTCATTTAGATAAATGTTCTCATTTTTCCTTAGTTAATTCTTCTCACACCACTGCAGCTCACTGTTGTAACACAGAAGGAGGGGAGCAGTGTTTCATGGATGGGCATCTGATGCTCCAGGAGGTCATGGCTATGGAGGAATGAAGTGTGGTCATTACCCACTGCTCACCATTTCCTTCACAGAAATCTCATAGCAGCAATTTGGAAACTTGAAGAACTTTGCAGGAAAACTGGAATTAAATTGATATATCAGCGTTATTTTCTGGTAGATGCTCCTTATCAAAAGTGACTGTGAGACTGCATACAGAATGGTAACCAGACCAGGATTTCCTCATCCCACAGGGTATGGTCAACAGTATTTGTGCAAGGTACGTTTTCTGGCAGCTCTCTCTTTTTGGTCCTCAGTAGTGCCTGTTCCAAGGTGAAGCAAACGATATACAACAATATTCAGCCTTCCAACTCCAATCTGCTGTGGGACCCGGAGTTCATGCTTGATTTCATTGAAAACCCTTCTGCACACAGCCTTAACTACTCGATGCTGGGCAAGGTCCTGAGCGACAACGCGGCCAACCGCTACAGCTTCGTCTGCAACGCGTTGATGAACGTCTGCATGGGGCACCAAGACGCAGGCAGGTGAGGCAGTGCCTGCTGGGGCCGGATCTGGGGGGATTTGTGCATTGCTTCACCTGTTTGTTTTGTGTCTTTTTTGGTGTTGTTTCCATTCATGACTCTTTCTGGTTGCTGAAAATGCACTGGGGAAGTTTCCTCTGAGTTATTTCATTAGATCAGTCTACATCATTTAACAGAAGGGAGTGACAAGCAGGAAGTGCTCGCTGTAAGACGGTCGGTAGGTGTTTTGTATCAGCAGTTGTGCCGCTTCAGACAGAGCAGCTCAGCGCAATTGTTGCTCATTAGAAGCCAGTAAACGAGGGAAGGTTCTGCATTACCTCATTTCCTCCTAGTGATGCAGTTGGTGTTGGATTTATTAAATGTGTAATTTAATTAGTTGTAGAATTCATCTTCATAGGTAATACATAGATTTGCCAAAAATATTTTTAAGAAGTGTGAAGAGCTTCATTAGACAGAAGCTGCTAAAGCTGTAGCAGCTGTCAGTGATGTGTTAGGAATAGCTTGGGCCTCACGGTGTCCCACTCAGGTCAGTGTCCAGTGGTCAGTGTGGGGTGAGATCTCCCTTCAGCGGTTGTGCAGTGCTGTCCGGCTGTGGTTGCTGTCTGACACCACCAGGTGCTGGTGGCTGTCACTGTCAGGTGGAGCTCTGGTCTCATCCAGTGCGATACTTCCTGGCTCTCAGGTCTACCTTAGATGTTTTAGGTGCTCTGAAGGCACTGACAAGGAGTGTAGTGAACAACCTTCGCAGTGAAACAGCTCAGTGTCAGGGTCTCACACAGACAGTGTATTTTTGTTCGTAATTCAGATGTTCTGCCCTCAGTTGCTTCCTCCTTCTGGTGTGTAAACACAGAAGCTTGGCCTTCTTGTGCAGAGGTATGCTGCAGTGCTGAAACTGCTTTTCCTTTGTTTTCCATTCTGCAGTCTGTGGTGCAGCGTGAAGCAAACACCAGTTTTTGGATTGAGCCTTTGCCCCTGCCCCCAGCACCTTCACTGCTTTCACGCAACCAAAGCCACCAGAACTTGGTGTTCTGTTCTGACTCTGTTCCAATTTTTATTAAGAATTTCTTGGTCTTGATAGCTAGGCCTGACTGCAGCAGTAGCTGACAGTCTTTTTTAAGGTTGCTGACAGATCACAAAGCTCAAGGAAACTGTGGATGTTTCCTTTTACTTTTCTTTTCTGGTTGACTCTGGCCCCCAGTGTGTGTAGTTCCTGTATCCTCCTCCCTGTCCTTGCTGTGAAGGCATCTCTGAAATGTCCAAAGGCGCTACAGAAATGGTCAGAGGGACGGAGCTCCCCTGTGAAACCAGGCTGAGAGCTGGGGTTGTTTGGCATAGAGAGGAGAAGGCTCCAGGAACACCTTATAGCAGCCTTTCAATCTGTAAAGGAGGCTTGTAAGAAAGATGGAGAGAGACTTTTACCAAGGCCTGTAGTGATAGGACAAGGCGCAACAGTTTAAAACTGAAAGAGGTTGGATTTAGATTGGACACTGGGAAGAATCCTTCCCTGTGAGGTGGTGAGGTCCTACACAGGTTGCCCAGAGAAGCTGTGGGTGCCCCCTCCCTGGCAGTGCCCAAGGCCAGGTTGGACAGGGTCTGGAGCAGCCTGGGCTGGTTGTGGGTGTCTCTGCCCATGGGCGGTTGGGCTGGGGGGAGTTGAGGTCCCTTCCCACCCAAACCGGACTGTGAATCTATGCAATGTGGGGCATCCTTGGCAGAGCAGCGCAGCTGAGAGGAAGCGGTTTTGTAAGAGCAACAAAGGGGAACATCTCAATGTAGCCAAACCAGTTTCACTGTGGAACAGAGAAAAAATAACTTGCACTGGGATGAGTCAACCCGGCTGTTTTTTAAGGTGTTACATAACTCTGAATCACACGCCAAATCACGCATTGCATGCTATGCGATCAGTGAAGTAAATTCCTTAATGCCCATTGATTTTGTGAGTCCCCTCCCTCCCAAGCAGCAGCACTGGCCTGGTGTGAGCGGGAGAGGGAGGGCCCTGTGGTGGGATGTCACCGGTGTGTGGTGGGGTATCACTAGTGTGCGGTGAGATGTCACTGGTGTGCGGTGGGGTGTCACTGGTGCCTGGCCAGGTATCCACCATGGGCACCACTTCCCCGGACATTTTTGTGAGGAAGAGGATGGAGCTGCTGTTTGTGTGGCCATGCTGAGGGATGGCCTGTGTGTGCCCTGAGGAGAGGACAGGCCATCTGTCATGGTGGACAGTGGGGCAGTGGGTGCTCCCCCTGTCCTGGGCAGCAGGGGCACAGGGAGTGCACCCAATAATGGCCCTGGGTGCTGAGGTCGCATGTGTGCAGGCTGTGCGTACCAGTCACACACTGGGTGTTTTTCCAGCTGCCCCAGTTGTCCACAGCTGAACAGCATCAGGTTATACGTACAGCACAGTCACATTTTCACATGTACCTCGCCTTAACTGAGGAAGCACCAGTCCTGCCAAGCACTGATCTGCTTTGACCTAAGTAGTTACCACTTAGGAGATACCGTGTTCCTGTATTACTTTTCTCTCCCTTCGCAGGATCAATGACATAGCAAACCTGTGCGCAGAGCTGACCGCGTGCTGCACCGTGCTCAGCGCTGAGTGGCTGGGGGTCGTCAAAGCTCTTTGCTGCTCCTCCAACCACGTCTGGGGTTTCAATGACCTCCTCTGCAGCGTGGATGTAAGTTCAGCATCTTCTGAAGTACCTGTTAACCCTATGCACCTCGATGTGCTTCAGGGTACAGTGAGGTCTCCATGCACTACAAAATGTGAGGCACAAATTTAGTCCTGTATCCATTTGAGTTTTCAAGGCTTTTAAAGCGATTCCTGATTCATTTTTTATTCTTCCCTACATGTTCAGGTTTTAGTGTAAAATTTGGGCAGTGCTTAGAGTTTTCTCTTTGTAATATTTTTTTTCTTGATTACGGAATACTTTGAAGTATCAGAGGTACTCTAAAAGGAGCAGGCATGTCCATATCCTTTCTCTAGAATGCTGATGGATGTGTAAATAACTATTTCAGAGACCCTGTTTTGGTGATGGCTCCTATGTTGCAGAAGGGGTGGTGCACTTTGCTGTGTCTTACTCACCTGGTGTAAGTTACCACAGTCCTGTGAAAGTCAGTGGGATTATGGTGACTGATGTTATCCAATATCAGATTCAATATATTTATCTATAGTTTGCTTACATACACCTTTAGGAACAGATTGAAGCTGTTTGTGCTGGGGATATATTCTTGTCCTGAAGCTAAGGACTATTGATGTGATCTGGTTTTATAGAATGATAAAATTTGGTCAAATTTTTGTAAGACTCGTTTTTTAAATTTCAGAATTAATTTGGGATATTTGAAATAGGTTTTTGTTAAAATTAAGAGCTATCAGTATTTGCCATAAATTTTTTGGGAAATGCACTAAAATACAGAGACAAATGCATGCATGTAAGCATTTTGCTGTTTATTCTTATAGTTTACTCATTGTGTTAACTCACTAACTGTGGCCGTGATGTGTGCACTGTTAAGTGAAGCCTTGCCGTGTTTTTCCCCAGGTGAGTGACCTGTCCTTCCATGACTCCCTGGCCACCTTCATCGCTATCCTGATCGCGCGGCAGTGCTTTTCTCTGGAGGACGTGGTTCAGCATGTTGCACTGCCTTCTCTCCTGGCAGCTGGTAAGGAAGTAACCAGAAAAACTACACTGAAAAGCTTGGGACTTCCCAGGGAGGGCAGCACCCTGTGCCCTGTGCAGTGCAGGCTCCCCTTGTGCCCACAGCACTCTGCTGCTCTGCGCTGTGCTCAGCGCCTGCTGAGTCTGCTCTCTTGTGTGTTTCCTCCTGCATTGGGCTCCCAGGCGCTGATGTTTGCTCCCTGTGCTCCTGTCTGTGCCTCCAGCCCTGCCGTGCCATAGCTCTGGGCCTCTCTGGCCACTTCACATATTTCTTTACACTTTCTGTTGGATTTGTGTTTCGTATTTCTGCTTTGGCTGTCAAGAGCCATTTTAACCATGTATTCTTCTCTGCCATCAATTAGGTTTCTTGCTTACCAAAGATCACACTGTTCTTTCCTGCTTTTTAATGACTCAAGGCCATAAATGCTGATTCCTGTTGATGAAATGGTTGTATTCCCATTTAAATGGGGCTGTGAGGTAGGACATTTCCAGGCCTGCAGAGGTCCTGCGCAGACGCCTTACATCCATGTCCCGCCTTCTGCAGCCTGCGGGGATCCGGACGCAGAGCCAGGGGCCAGGGTAACCTGTCGGCTGCTCCTGCACCTCTTCCGGACACCCCAGCTCTGCCCTTTTCCCCAGGGCACAGGTAAGCTGCCTGCTTTCCTTTCCAAAAGTGAACCCAGATGGGGTTTGGTGGCTTCAGATCTCAGGTGTGAAAATATCCATAGTGCAAGTAGAAAGGTGCAGCCTAAAAGTACAGGAGTTTCCTAGGGAAAAATTGATATGTACTGCTCTTACTTGTTTGGGAAATGGTTTATATGAATATAAAGGTATAGAAGTTTGCTGAAATGTATTCATCATCAACATCTGGCCACCCAGCTGTGGCATGATGTTGGCATAAATATCAGCCTTGGTAATACTACATTAATATTACAAGAAAATTAAGTTTAACACAGCATCTGTGTACACTGCAGTCAAGAGGAGTACATTCAGAAGTACTGCTCTGTCCTGACATCTCATTTTGTTTGAGATTTCACTGGGACCTATTGATACTGGTTTTGTGCTGGTGGTGGCAGTGGATGAATCACAGTCCCCTCCTTTCCTCACCCCAAGCACTGTCGGGGCAGCAACAGCTGCTGTGGTGGGTGACCTCGCAAGGTCACAGAAACTGCATAGGGATACATGTCCTGCAGTTCAGTGGCCTTGCATGTAAATTGAATTTAAATGTGATTTCAAATAAATCACCTAGTCCAACAGAAGAAATGTGAGGAAATTTGTTTTCAGAATATATTAATGTAGTTCTCTTTCCTTTTAAATTTGAGTACTCTGTGGTCTGACCTGTGCGTGTTTGCCACAGACCAAAAGAGGAAGGAAAAGGGCAAGGAAAAAGCACCTAACAATTAAAAGGAAACAGGACTGGAAATAACCTGTGTTCTGACTTAGAAGTATTTCAGCAAATCTGATGACAAGACTATTTGTATGGGAAAATGAAATTGAAAGAAAAAGAATTACAGCTCTTAAGTGATGTCAAATTCTTCCATCTAAAACTAACATTAGTTTCTTTTTTGACCAGAAATGAATGAGCTTTTGTTGCATATTTGAGCAAAATAAGTAGGAGCTGTGAAGATCTCTGTCTGAGTAACAGAAATATGTTGCATGGTCCTAGGCTTCCCTAGAAATAAAAATCAATTTGAACAGATGGGAAAAATCACACCTGAACACAAGGAAGTGCAGGTCAAACCCAATGTGGCCACATACAGACTTCGGTTACACACGGCTCGGGTACCCTCTCAGGATGGGCTGGATTTGGCCTCCCCCTCAGTTCGTCTTCAGCCTTGAGTCAGAAAAAACCCTCACTAACTTCACTGGCTGCTTCTGAGCTGCAGAATTGGGCTCCACTGTGCAGCAGGCATTTGTATTAATTAATGTTGCCTCATTAGTTATGAACACTAGGTGAGGGAAGTAATGTCCTGAGTCTGTGAAGTCAAACCCAAAATTCGCTGCAGTGTCTCGCTGTGGTTGGATTTGCTGTTTACACGGACACAGTGAAATGGCAGGCTCCTGTTTCTGTTTAAGTGACCAGAGCTTATTTTGATATAAGTACATCATAAGTAGTTGAATTAAATGACTTACCTGTTTTCTTCAGTTTCAGAAAATTCAGTTCTTCTTTCAGCTACTGTACTTGTGTAGCTGTTCTAGGTGAGAAGGGTTTTGTACAAAGGAAATTTTAGTGGGTAAACAACAACTGTTTTCTGCAAGACTGACTCTTTTTTCCATAGTGAAATTATTTCCTGGGATTCGTTCTTCTTGTGATCGTCACCTCTTGGCTGCTGCTCACAACAGCATAGAAGTGGGAGCTGTGTTTGCGGTCCTAAAAGCCATTTTGATGCTGGGTAAGATGGCGCGGAGTCGTGCAGTGTTTGTGATCCAGTGTGTGGGTAAAAACCATTGCACTGGTTCACTGCCCTGGGAGAGGAAAAACCCCAGGACCAGAGACAGACGTGGAGCTGCCTGTGCCTCTGCAGCACGAGGGGCATTTCCCTGCCTGTCAAAGGCAGCTCCGCAAACACAGAGAGGAAAGATCGTTTTCCCCACCTTTTTTGGTGTTTTACCACAAAGCAGGTGTGTCTGTCGCTGTGGATGTTGTAGAAGTATCACTGCTAAGCAGCTCTCCCCGAACAATGAGTGTGTTGTTTTTGCAGACACACAACTGTCGTGGATCTCTGCTTTGGCTTCAGTTCAGTTAAACCCTTGCGGTGCTGTGTATTTTTGGAGTTAAATGACTGTCCACCTGAACAAGCAAATCTTCCAGATGTGGATGTACCCAGAGGGGTACGCCTCCAGCTAGGGTGCCACTGTTATAGCCAGCATCTCAGAACTGCCTCACAAACCCTGTGATCCTTAATTGTGTGGCCATACTGGGGCAGATGTGGAAGGCGCAGATACCTGGGGTGGAATGATGGATTTTCTGTCTTTCCTTCCTGTTCAGAGTACTGAGACTTGCTGTTTTTTTCCATTAATGCAGTGTGAACCCCTCTCGTTTCATCTCTGAGCAGGGCCGTGGTTTGGATGGGGTCTGGTGCAGGGAGGTGTGAAGGCAGATTCGGGCTCGCAGTTTGTGCCTTCACTGCAGCACATCTCCTCTACCCAAAATGTTATATGTGGAGATGTCTTGTTGGTGCCCTGCATTAGTTATTAACAATGGTACTTGATTTGCTGAGGAAAAGCGTCGGATAAGTGTTGTATTTGTGTGCTGAGGAAGCTTGGTGAGTAGAAATCTATCTTAGAAAAATTAATCTTTACCCACAAAGGAAGACAGTGCTGCTGCCAGCTGCTCCAGAGTGGATTAAATACCTTCACAAGCTTTATCAAAGCATTCTAGGATGGCTTTACCTCCATGTGGGGCTTGATATCAGTCTCTTCATTGTGTTATTTCCTGCCAGGTTCTTCCCTCTTGTCCTTCAAGAGGCTGTTGGTCTCCTTGGTGCAGTGTTTGAAGTATCTTCCTGGTAGTCATAGATTTTAGTCAAAAATCCTAGCATGTGTAACCAGTGGTCGTGGTGTGGGTGTGTTTGAATGAGCAGCTGTTCCGTGGGGCTGAAGAGAGCCACTGAGCCTGGGCACGGTGGTTGTTGATCTTGATGGTGAACCGAGGGTTTTCTAAGGCATGTCTATTGTACGTGGTGCTTCAGTTACGATCCACAGGAGTTTCTGCTGCATTAAAACATCAGGCTGTGTTAGCCTACTGTCATCATGTGTGCTCCTGGGTGGGCTCCAGGGTGTCAGCAGTTCAGGCTGTTTTCCCCACTACCACGTGCTGTAGCTTTATCTTCTTCCTTGTGCAAGGTTTCAGGCCCATAAACATGTAAATCGTGAACTGCATTATGTCCAAAGTCCTTTTCCTTGCCTGTTGGTTTTGGGTAGCCGTGGTCGTAGGGCTGTGCAGTGCCACACAGAGCCGAGGGCTCACCAGTGCTTGCTGGGCTCCCTCAACGTGTGCTGCCCTTCTCCATCCCCCGGAGATCAATGTCTTGTCATAAAGCTCGTGGTAAGGTGGTACAAGGGGCCACTGCTCAGAAATTCTCTCTGGATCTATGGAGTGTTATAAATCACAGTAAGAGAGATGGCTTGGAAAAGTGACATCCGAGAAGAGCGAGTAACCCAACTCTGCCTTATCTGCCAGAGCAACTCCATAACCTCACAGACCTGCTGCTGAGCACGGCTTTATCTCTGTCTGATTTGTATAAATCTTTCTGTACATCTGAAATACCCATTAAAAAGATGCTGTGCAGTGAAATAAGTGGACAGGACTTTGAAATGGTGATTTTCAGAGTCAGTTGCTGGTGCCTTTTCAAATGCAAGTTCTTCTGCTCTGTGTTCCTCCTGTGCAGGTGATGCCGAAATTGGCAGCAACGTCAACTGCCTGAAGAGTGAGGACTTCCCCGTGGGAGGGCTGCTGGATGAGCTCCGTGAGGATGAAATCTGGGGCTCCTCTCCTGCTCTGAAATCGTGTGGAAAAGCCGTTTCTGTAGAAACTGCCAGTCTAAGCGAGTATGCTAGATACGTGCTAAGGACAATTTGCCAGCAGGTAATCTGTTAAACAACTCTTGTCTTCGTTTGGAGAAACAGTGGTACTTTATTTCAAAATTGTAATGTGTATTTTGGTGCAAAACGACTGCTGAAGTCAACTCAGTATTTGAGTTGTGCTTGGGTTTCCTGGTTTGGACAATTTATGCACCAAATAGTATGTTATTGGGGAAAAAACCTGCTTTAGTTAGTTATGCATCTCCTCTGTCAGAATTTAGGTGGTTTTCCTACCCAAATCTCAGCACTTGGAGAAGATTGTAGGACCTCTCCACTTTGAGCTGTCTGCTCAAAGTGCCTTTGCTGTAGTGTTTGTTTTCTTGCAAAGTTGTTTTCAAAGTATAGAAGAAATGAATTTCGAAAAACCTGTTAACAGTCTTACGCTTTCAGGTGTTTCATGACAGAAGACATTTCTGATCTCACGTGTTGCATGAACCACAGTTCACTTCAAGTTTTGCACATGGAAAATTCACTTTTCTGTTTAGCTGACCAAAAGTTAATGTTGCCCTGAAACTATCTTTTGACTCCGTCGTCTGATTGCTCACAGGAGTGGGTTGGAGAGCACTGTTTAAAGGAACCCGAAAGGCTGTGCACAGACAAAGACCTGATTCTGGATCCCGTTCTGTCAAACAAGCAGGCACAGAAGCTGCTCCAGCTGATCTGTTATCCTCATGGCGTTAAGGAGTGCACGGAGGGTGACAACCCTCAGCGGCAGCACATCAAGCGCATACTGCAGGTAAGGCTGTGGGGAAGGGGGAAGGGGATGCGCTGACCCTAACCCCATTCAGCAGCATCACTGATGGACACTGCTGTGCAGTCCTGGCACAACCAGGCATTGCCTTGTTCAGGTACCTGCACCAGGACCAACAGGGATTGGTGTCCTGCAGAGTAACCACATCAGCTTTGCGTCCACTTCAATCATATATCTACGTGGCCTTGTGCTAAAGGCCACATACACCTGGATGGCAACGCCATGGATTGATGTAATTGCTAATGAAAAATCAAATTACGTTTTCCATGAATATTTAACTAAACTCAGATTTTGCAGAGTGCAAAATTTTTATTCATAAAAGTTGCATGACTAAAAGTATTGAGTAGCAATGTTAGCTGCAAAGTTGTGGGAGTTAACGCACATTCTTTAATAGGTCTAATATTTTGGGATGTCATTAGACTATTAAAAAGAGTAGTAACTGTGATGCTCTGCCTATAAGGTGAGGCTTTTGCATGTAATATACTCAGTTGTGAGACTTACTCTTTTCTTTAGGCCTGTAAGTGTTGACACGTGTCTGTGCTGTTAATTCCTACCCAGAACCTGGACCAGTGGACTCTGCGGCAGTCGTGGCTGGAGCTGCAGCTCATGATCAAACAGTGCACAAAGGAGCCTGTGAGTATTTGTTTTCGAACTTCCTTACCTAAACATTTAATGCAAAAACGTATGTTGAATTTTAACGCAGTCCATGAGCAAGCATACCATGAATGTGCTAGTTTACTTATGTTTTACTGTAGGGTTCTGGGTCTGTGGCTGAAATGAACAGCTTGTTGGATAATATTGCAAAGGCGACAATAGAGGTGTTTCAGCAATCCGCTGATCTAAACAATAACTCTTCTAACTCTGGTATAGGCCTCTTCAGTCCAAACTCTGTTGGAAATGCTGACACAAGTAATACAAGACAGAATGGTAAAAAGACATTCCTAAGGTATTTTTTTGTAGCACCTTTTTAACTATTTTAGCTGACGTGATGCTTAATTATGTGTAGATTGCCTAGACTTTTTTGCACTTGAAACAGGAATGTACAGAAATGAGCTACCTGAAGGTTACTTCTGTTTGCTTTTGTTTAACAGTAAATACAGTTGCTATTCGTGAATTTTCTGGAAACCAAAACCTGTGACTGCTCAGTCCACTGTAGTTACTCCAGATGCATTGTGCCAACTGTTTTATCAAAGCAGTTCAGTCTTATAGCAGCTAATATTGCTTGCAAAACCACATGGATGTTTTGGCTGAAATAAATCTGTTCTCCTTCCAGTTCCTCCGAGCGGCGAGGAGTGTGGCTGGTGGCTCCCTTGATTGCAAAGCTGCCTACCTCAGTGCAAGGTAGGGTCTTGAAAGCTGCGGGAGAGGAGCTGGAGAAAGGCCAGCATTTGGGGTCATCTTCTAAGAAGGAAAGAGATAGACAGAAGCAGAAAAGGTATGGCCTCAGGAAAGCCTGTTGCGCAGCGCTGAAAGGTGCTTGTGAAGGAGGAGGGAGCTGAAGACTGGGTCTTGGCCTTACAGAACCTCACTGGTTCACTCTTGGGGAGCAGAAAGTTATCAGCCCCAAACAGGGCCCAGGAGTCCCTTAGCTTGAAGGAATACTATTGGTTTCAGAGGAAGAAATGTGAAAGCTTTGAAATGCATCTTCCAGCGGCTGTTCTGCAGCTTGGTGATGGGAAATGGGAGTGATTTACAGGAACAGTTAGAGCACATGTTGTCTCTGCCCTCCTATGACAGTAGGCGCTTTTCTTGCCATTAAGATCCCATCATTGTCATAAGATGTCATTCAGTTCCTGATGGGAATTAAGCTTAAGCTCATCTGGAACTGTCCAAGTGCATGAGAATTTTAATGACTTAATGGTTATTGATTTTCATTTAGTAAAATATTCTTACACGGTGCCTATAATTGTTTTGTACTCTCTTAGAGTTAGGATAGGAACACATTGAATACTGTACACCAGAGGGTCTTGTAGCCCCAAAAACCAACTGTCTGTTTGTGAAGCTCTTCCAAAGCACAGTTGTTCAAGAAAACAAATAACTTCTTAGAGGCTTGTGGCATTTCCCTGTTGCACATGGTGCCACCATAAGCTTCTTGTGTGTGTGCATTTTTGGTCACCTTCAGTGTTGGTTGTGCAGTAGACCGTGTGTGGGAGCAGTAATTGGTCTCTGCCACTCTGCAGTACCCTTGGGTGTCTGTGACTCCAGTCAGTGCTTGCAGGGGAAACGGGGAATTCACTTCAGAGCACTCACACGGATTAGAAGCTGCCTGGTCTCCATCACAATTATGTCCCTGGTTGATCAAAGCAGCCTCAGCACAACACAAGGGGCTGTCTGTGAGTCCAGGTGGGCTCCCAGCAGCGATGTGCAATACGTCCGGTTGTACCGGCAGCTGCTCTGCCTTCCTCTTGCATGTTCCTCTAATTCCTCTGGCCAGGCTTTAATTTACTTAAACAGAAACAGACATAGACGGGGGCACTGCCACTTCCAGGGAAAACAAAGCAGACAAAACAAGGAAGGGAGTGGGGATTGGAAGTTTCAGGATAACTGCACTAATTGGCACTGTGTTTGCCTCTCCAAGCATGTCTCTCTTGAGCCAGCAGCCTTTCCTTTCCTTGGTGCTTACTTGCCTTAAGGGACAGGATGAGCAGCGGGAAGGGCTTCTCACATCCTTGCAGAATCAAGTTAATCAGGTAAAACAAGCACATAAATAATGTGAGCAACCTTTGTTAGGGGTTTATGTGTCATCGGTTTTATGTGTGTATGGTGGTGTAAAGCCAGGAGAATTGTAGTGCCATGGTGTCCCGAAAGGAGCAGCTCAAGGAAGGAGGAATGGGGAGGTGTGGGTTCCTTTTGGAGACCAAATGCATTTTTTTTTCTAAAATAGTTACAAAGAAATATAATGAACTTGAGTCTGATTTCAGTGCTTTCCAGGAAAAACAATAAATTATGTTTGTCCTGAGATGAACCATCTTCTCGGTCTCTAGCTTGATCATAAAAAGTTTTTGTAAGTCTGAAACTTTTCTTCTTCAGGAAAACCCTTCATCTTCTCCAGTTGGTACAGAGTTTTTCATGTTTTAAAGTCCAATATTGCTGTCTCACACTGCCCCATTGCCTGCAGCTTCCTTTGGGTCACCTGTGCTTGCTCACAGCCTCTGCTGACTCTGCTCTGGTTTTCCTGCTCCCACCCGGTTCTTGCCCTGGCCCACAGCAGCCCCTTCAGACTCTGTAAAATGCATGCATACAGTGCCCAGTGCAGTGGCTGTGCGTCCTTTTGCTCTCTCTGTTTCTCTGGGTTACTGTGTCAGTGAAAAGGGGTACCTGGAGAGCCGTTACTCTTCAGGTCCAGGCTGTGTCATGGGTCCGTGTCCAGTTCAGTTCGTCCTTTGATGGTTTTTACCACCAATGTCGCTGCCACCTGGGCTTTTCTTTGGCTGTCGGAGATCTCCCTTGAAATGCAGCGGGTCTGGCTTCCCATGGGCTCTGGTCACTTCCATCCAGAAATCCCACCAGATCCTGCTGGGAAGCTGCAAGAGATCTGTTCACTTACAGTGGTGAACAGTTAAATAGAGTGCTTGAAATGGTATTTTTAATAAGTACATAATGAAGCTGCTTGTTTTATTTTTGCTACAACAGGAAGATCTAGTCACACAATTGATAGCAGATTATCAGCTCTTTAGAAATTAATTCTTTCCTCCTCCCTAGTTTGCTTGATCTGCTCTAAGTCTTAAACAGGCATGAGGATACAAAAGTTATTTATCTTTTATTATTTGTTATCAATATTGGTCACAAATATTTAAATTTCAGAGGAAGAACATTAAAGGAAGAAAACAACCTTAATCACATGCTTTTTTTTAGATCCTTAGTAACTGGAGGGAAGAACGATACCAGGATGATGTTAAAGCTAGGCAGATGATGCACGAAGCCCTGCAACTTCGTCTTAACTTGGTAAGAAAAGGTCTGTGGTTACCCTGGAGTTACAGAAGGGTGTAGCAGCCGCTCTGGAGTGGGCGGTAAGGAGCAAGGAGCACTGTCAGGGTGCTGCAGGGCTGGGGCTACCCGAGAGCTGCACCATGGCATCGGTCACCTCCATGAGGAGGTTGAGGGTTGGTCCATGATGGGCTGAGGCCCATCTCTGTACTTACTGAGCAAGACACAACCCTGAAATAAGCTGTAAGCATGAGGAATATTTTGGTTTTCTGTAGTTCCTTCTTAGGAAAATCTTTTGCTGGGAGGTTGGGGAAGGGAGGAAAAGCAGTTTGGAGTCAGCGCTTCAGGGTGACATTCAGTGCACAGGAACTCCTGGGACCGGGTAGCAGTTTTATTGATAAGTAATCCGTGCGATAAGGGAAATGTGCTTCCGTGAGGAGCATGCAGAGCTCTGCTACCTCTGCTGTTCTGCAGGTGGGCGGCATGTTCGACACTGTGCAGAGGAGCACCCAGTGGACCACGGACTGGGCACTTGTGCTTCTCCAGATAATCACATCGGGAACTGTCGACATGCAGACCAACAAGTACGTCTGGACCGTCCAAACAGCTCATTCCTGTCCTTGCTGCTCTTAGGTTCAGATTGCGTGGATGTTATTGTCATATTTTTGTAGTGACATCTGTGTGCACATCTGGATAGTCCACCTGCATGTATGCGCTGGGGCTTACATGTGTGACCTGGGGAGTGTGTGTGTGTGGGTGTGTGCAGGGCGCACCCCCAGACCTGGCCCGTCTGCAGAGCTGTCTGTGCCGTGAGCCCCTGTCCCTGGGTCTCTCCATTCGTAGCTCCTGGGGTGACACTTGTCTCCCCACAGCGAGCTGTTCACAACTGTGCTGGACATGCTGGGCGTCCTCATCAATGGGACGCTGGCCTCTGAGCTGTCAAATGCTTCCCAGGGAGGACCTGAGGAGAACAAGAGGGCGTACATGAACCTGGTGAAAAAATTAAAGGTAAGTGTTACGGCTTGTCATTCTCGGCATTTCTTCTGAGTTGTGTTCTGTGCTCATCTTTTAATCTCATCATTTCCAGTTCTGCAAAGGCCTCCTGTTAAAGCAGGAGAGACCGAAACAGCACTAGTGATAATGAGGAGAAAAAGAAGAAAATAAAAATACAAGAATGTGGGAGTGGGGAAACAGAATTCTAATATTTTCTTCATGTTAAATTAAAATTAAAAACCTTGCAAGACACTTTTATTCATGTTTTAATATTGAATATTAAATTTGTACTAAGTATTTTCTGTGTTCTGTTTAAGCAAGAGATGAAAACATTATGTACATTCTTAAAAGAGAAAACCAACTAAAAAAGCCTTGCAAAGCCACTCGCTTAGATTTAGTAAAAGCACAAGGAAATGATTCACCCCGAAACTGGATGTTTCTAATGGTGAGAGTGGCGCAGTGTTTCTCTTCCCTTCCCCCCGAGTGATGGCTGTGCCTGTTCCACAGAAGGAGCTGGGGGACAAGCGCTCGGCGAGCATCGACAGAGTGCGCCAGCTGCTGCCCCTGCCGCGGCAGACCTGCGACATCGTCACCTGCGAGCCCATGGGGTCCCTCATCGACACCAAGGGCAACAAGATCGCAGGATTTGATTCCATCGATAAGAAACAGGCAAGAGGGAATGTTTGCTTTCATCTCGGTTTTTCCATGATTTTGGAAGGGTAAGAAATAAAGCAAACAGGTACAGCTTGTCCAGTACATGTGTTTGTACCCAGGATTGTAAAAGCATTGTCCTTGTGCTGTACTACGGCTTTCCCACGCACTCTCAGCTGTTACTGCAGCCTCAGCCGCAGCAGCGTGGTCTCTGGACAGGCAGAAATGATATGAGCCAGGAGTGCTGGCCTTGGTCAAAATACCCCTAAAATAGTGGCAAATGACAGCTTTTTGGTACCAAATGCATTTCTGTTCTAGATATTCTTGCACAGATTGTTTGTGTGATCACTGATACATCCAGATAGCCTCAGAGCTTTAGATACATGTGCATCTCTAGTGGAAACAGTTTTATTCCACTCCTGAAAATTGAAGGGTTTGGGTAACCGTTCACTTTGACTTGTTCCCAATTCAGTGATGGTGTTTGCTGCACACCCTGCCCTGTCCCATCCACACAGAATGTGGTCAGTCCTCACTGCTGACATGGTGGGACATGAGCTTGCCCAGTTTGGTGATACAGGGTCCTGACTGTTATCAGCCAATGCCACAGAAGTTGCCAAAAAGGGAATTACATTTGACTCGAACAGCAGAAGCTCTTACAGAAGTATTTGCTTTTCAAGCAGAATCCTGCATTTGAGAGTGCATTTGGCCCGGGAACCTTCTGACCTGTTACTGGGAGGAGGATGGAGTGTGCTGATCCTTCTCACGAAAGACAGAGGAAAGAGGGGAATAGTGTATTGGTTCGTTTGGATTATTTTGGTAATATGAAGGGATGCATAATTTTTTCAAGTGAATTTATGTAAAAGAGAAAGATGAGCTTAGGACAGAGCTTTTTATTCTGCAGACCAGATAGGCATTTTTTGTGATTATAGCGCTTAGGCTTTCTCTCCTTGTTTGAATGCGTAAACTTTTAACAACGGTATTCTCAAATTAGCAATTTTTGCTAGATGCTGACTTTCCCTCCAAAATACAATAGATGGAACTGGAGATTTTTATCATAGCTGTGAGCAAATGGTATTATAAAAACGTAATTGCTGTTATGTAGTGGCTCCTCGGACAGAGGTTGAAATCCCACAAGGATGCATTTGATATCTTCTGTGGAGGTGAAAAAATCCTCCCTGGCTTTTTCTGCCTCAAATGATGATGTCCAAAAGCAAGGTGTCTGCTCCAGCATTCACCTTTCTAAAAACACTTACTTCACCTTTATTCTGAAACAGGGCCTGCAGGTGTCAACTAAGCAAAAGGTGTCCCCTTGGGATTTATTTGAGGGTCACAAAAATCCTGCTCCTCTCTCCTGGGCATGGTTTGGGACAGTCCGCGTCGACAGGAAGGTGATAAAATACGAGGAGCAGCAGCACCTGCTCCTGTACCACACGCACCCCAAACCCAAGCCCCGCAGTTACTACCTTGAGCCCTTGCCCCTTCCTCCAGAGGAGGAGGAGGAAGAGCCCAGCACCCCTACGTCTCAGGAGCCCGACAGGAAGACGGGAGAGCTCCCGGGTCAGGGCAGACTGGCCACAGAGGACGAGAGGAAGACCAAGGGCAGGAAGCGCAAGTGCAAGTCAAGCTCCAGGGCTGATGTAAGTCGCTGGTGTCGTACAGAAAGATCTCACCAAGTGTCTGATGTTGCCTGGGGCTGTCTCAGCTGCCTCCAAAATGCTTGTGCACCGCGGGAGTGGGTGCTGACACGGGGAGGGATGGGAATAGGCAGGAGGAGGTGGGTTTCTGTCCAGTAGAGCTCTGCATGATGTCCTGCGTAGCACCTTACGTGCTGGGTAAAGGACCTGGGCTGGATCTCCCCAAACACCATTCAGGGTCTGTATCCACTATCCCGTGTGTGGTGTAAAGCGCAGCTCTGACTCTTTGTACCCATTTTTTAAATTTCTCCTGTTCAAATTATGTTGAGAGCAAACATTGGCTTAAACCCAGGTGCCACTCAAATGGAAACCAATCTGGGAGAGGCTCTTTCACACAGGTAAACTGCTTCACTGTGCAGTTTGTTCTGGTTTGTGAGACGCGTTCCCTTGTGGTTTTTATTGGTTTTTGAGGTGTGAGTTTCTAAGCTGACGGATCCTTAGAGCAAGGGTTTGAAAAGCATTCCT